ATATATATATATATATATATAGACCACATATATATTATCTAAAAGAAACAATCTTACACAACAACTTTGTATCAGGCACTCGATAATTATCTCATTTACTTAAAGTACAAGTGATTAGTATATCTAAGTATATAAAACCCTATTGAATAATAAATATAAATATCGGTATCAAAATTGCCAGGTGTGCCCATGAGTATGGATAATATTCCCTTACTCAGGCTAGTATTCATTTTCATCCCAATAGGTCTTCCACTGTAATCCTACGTAATTTTGGTTAATTATAACAATGATGATGAAGTAATAATCCACCTTTTAATGGTACGATAAATTCGAAGGTCATTCCCCACATAACACAGCCTAATGGGCGTATCATCTCAGGCATTCTCGTAGGCAACAACCCGTTTTGGAAATCCACTGTTTTGTTGAATCATTCAAGTATCAACAACAAACATGATGCTTATCCACTACAGAACACAACATTTGACACTCAACAAACAGAACTACATCTGTAAAACGAGGGCCATCCGAACCACCAACCATTGTGAAACTACCTACTGCAAATACTGTGACACAAGTTACCGGCCAATAAGCTAAACGTATGAAGAAAACAAAGTAATTTTTTTCTCTGCTACACCAAGTAACGGCACATCAGCTCTCAGGCATTCTCATCTGTGTCACTTCAGACGGTGGTCTCAGGGTGCAAACCATTTCTCTTGTTTTACCGAAGTATACCTGTGACATGCATTAACATAAAGATAGATGATTAACATACAGACACCTGTAACATGCATCATAGTCTGAAATGTCATAGACACAAAGGAACCAAATACTAAATTTGATGAATACCCAAACCTTTCCCGACCAAAGAACAAGTGAAAGAAGGTAAAGAAACTAATTTCGAATACAAGTATGCTGTTGAAGACTGAATCCCATAATCATGCAGTACCTGATCTAGTGAGTTCCTCAGCTTACTCTCCATTTCTTCAATCATCCTTCCCATGTTACAAAGATGTCCATCAGCAACTGATAGCCTCATACTCATCTAAAATACCGGGAAAAAACTAATTTGGGTTTAAAAAAGGCTTGATCAAACTAAAAGCATGTAGATATATGAACTTCGTCAAAAAAGAACCATCTAATTGATTCAATATTCAATAAAGGTGCATGATTCACGACGTGGCTTCTCAAGAAAGGCAGAAATAACTTGGCATGCGAGTGTTAACTAAATGATCTAATTGCCAACATGAGCTAATTCTAGTAGAACATGCCTGACGCCTAATTGATCCAGATAAACTGAAAGTTCCAGATGACTCATTATTTGTAGTCAATGTCAGCATAACTGTACTGGTTAAACGATAATTGGTGTTTTCTTCTTCCTCTGGTCCCACCTAAATTAACAAAAGAAAGAGAGGACTAAGAATTACTAAAATGAACTTGCGAGAAAAGAAACAGAAACTTAGAACTAAATAAGGATATTTTAGTTTCCCAATGTATTAAAGATTATATATACAGCTGCATTTATCAATGCTTAGTCTTCAATGAAATGATACTTTACCTCTATAACATGTATAGCATCCCATGCTCCTTCCTCTAAATATCCCCGTCGACCCTGCCCTGTCTTTGAGCCATCTTTAAGCATGGAATTGCAAAAAAAAAAACATCAC